TAGCATCAGTCAAAGTCCTTTGGAGGAACCAATTTGTTGAGAAAGCTACTTGGGAAGCTGAGGAGGATATGAAGAAGAGATATCCACATCTCTTTGAATCCGGAGAAAGTGCAAACCAAGGTACTAATTCTCTTCTTAGTACTCTTTCAATTATGAGTGAGCATGTTGTTTGTTTGCATTTGCTTGTTGGGTGTTTCAACTTGATGTTACCACCCTTAGCCTAGTAAGAGTAATCTCATTCGAGGACGAATGTTGCCAAGTGGGAGATATTGTAACATCTCGCAATTTGAAATAACTAAGAAGAAACTTAGAACTGGAAATAGTCATTTTTGGGAATAAAGAAAAATCTGGAAAATTGTTTAAGTTAGGAAAAGTGGATTTTTGGTCAAATTCAAACGGCCATAAATCCCATATCAGGATGAGTTAGGTGTGCTTAAAGATATGGGTGGAAATCTCTTGGAACGATCTTTCCAATGCCGCCAAGTTTGTTCGATTCCGAGTTCGTATGAGTAAGTTATACCCTTTGGAAGTTGGGTTTTAGAATAAGGAAAGTCAAAAACTAGACTTTTTTAAGGGTAGTTTGGTTTTTTCCTTACCCAACTTCATTAATTCGTTTTTGGTAATATTTTTAGGGTCTAAACTGATAGGATTCAGTTTACACTTTTGAAAAATAGAGTTAGGGTTTTTGGAGAAGGAACGCAAGAGAAAAGAGAAGAGGAAAACGCAAGATTCGTCGTCTTCGTAAGGAATTGATTGCAGATTTCTTCAAGGATTTGATCCTACAAGGTATGTGAGTCTCTCATAGTGTTAGGTTCGTTCACCTACGCCAAACATGTTATTTTAGCGTGAATTCGTTCTAAAAGAGTTTGAAAGTTGATGCAGAGTTTGGAAAGTTGATGTTTTGATGTGTATTCTTGACATTGATATTGTTCTTGAGTTGGGCTGAAATTGAGAGGTTTCTAAGATCGTCACGTCCAATTATTTAGTGAGTTGAGTTAGGTTCCTAGGTACATTTGTTGGGTATCTGTATCTAAAAAGAATTAGGGAAAAAAAATCGAATTTGGGTGATCTGGGGCTGCAAAACGAAGAAGAAATTTCGTTGGACGAATCTGGGTAATGGTGGCGCGTCACGAAGCTGGTCCCCAGAACTAGGAAAAATTGCTTCGCATCGCGGAACTGTCACGGAGTGTTCTGCCTCAAAAGTCCTTTCAGAAACTAAATTTTAAATGTCTCTCCGTGTCGCGGACCCACCCTCAAATATTGATATTTTGGTATTTTCTCGTGTTTAGATATCTAAATTCATACCTAAATATCATGAGATCTTTCCTATCACAAATCACGATCCTTTAATCCATAATTCAATTCAAGGAAAGTTAAGAGTCAAGTCAAGAGAAATCAAGAGTCAAGTTAAGAGAAGTTCATAAAGTTTCCAAAAGTCTTTTGCAAACGTTTTAACTTTGTTTTTAAAACTTAAGCTTCAAGTTAAGCAAAGAGTAAAGAGTTGAATTCATTTCTCAAAAAGCTATAAGGGAACTAAGTATTCCCAGAGAGTTTATAAATGTTTTTTTTTCATTTGAGCAAGAAAAGGGAACACCGATTTCAAGAGAACTTTTAAGCTAAGTTTTGAGTAATTATCTCAAACCAAAGAAAGAAGTTTGTTTTAAAAACACATGAGCTAAGTATATTTTGGGAGTAGTATTGAGCACCGATTTGGGGATGCGAGTTCATATTAACTCAAGTTTCCATAAACCATGTAGCCAACATGGGTAGTAAAGGATCATACTTTTTAGATGACTCCTTAAGGTGCTTTTAGCATAGACTAGTGGATCCACTTAGTGAGTTAGGTTTTATACCCCCGGCAAGGTATAGGACGGTCCTTGGCAGCGTGAGGTAAAACGTTGTACCATCACTTAGGCTCATAGTGGTGGTTGTCGGTTAGAGAATCTCCCACAGAAACTATATTATTTTGTGATATGAGTAAGGTTGAGTTTGTTATTGCATTTTCTTTAACGAACTAAGTTTATTTTTACTGTTTTATAAATCTTTTCATATATTGCATGTGTTTCATTGCTTTATTATGAGTTGAGTTATTCATGAGTTGAGAAGAGCCAAGGTAAGTGTTTCCTTCAGAATGATTTCAAGCCTATGTTATGTTTAGTATTCCAACTCGCATACTCGTACATTCAATGTACTGATGCTAGTAGGCTTGCATCTTATTATGATGCAAACGCAGGTAATCAGGATCAGCATTCAGCGCCTCGTTGAGCACTCCAGAGTCAGTTGGTGAGCCTCCTAGCATTCCAGAGGACTCCTTTTTATTGCTTTCAATTTTATTATCAGTTCATTAGAATGTTCTGGGGTTTGTCCCAATATCCATCTCAGTTGTTTTAGAGGCTTCATAGATAGTCAGACAGTTAGTTATGATTCTTTCAGCTTTGTATTTCAGATGTTTTGCTATGACACTTAAGTAGCCATTTTTGCTAGTTTTAATGCTTTCTTTAAAGACATTCTAAGATTTGCCATAAGTTCTTTATTTGAAGTTATCTCTGAAGTTTAAATCCTCTGCTGAGTAAGTAAGCCAGGCCAAGGGTTCGCTTGGGACCAACAATTGTTCTCGAGTGCTAGTACCGCCCAGGGCGTAAGCTTGGGGAGTGACAGTTTATCTAACCAACAACCATCACTATGAACCTCATGATTATACAACGTCTTGCCCACGTTTCCAGATTCATCCAATACTTTTTCAGGGTAAAGGATAAACTGAAGTAATGAATTCAATATCTAAGACCTTACCAGAGTCTATATGAAGAGTAGCCCAAATCGAAGACATAATCTTATCCTACGTTGGCTGAGAAGTTATGGGGTTTGAGTTATCTAAATTCTTACCCAACTCGGTGCTCAATACTACTCCCAAATCAATGCAATATTTCTTAATAATTGTATAAGGTTCCATTTTATGAAAAAGGGTCCCGCTTTAGGGGAAATTGATAATCTCTATCGTGAATTACTACTTACTTCTTTTTTTATATACTAAACTTGCTATAGGAACTAACTGGAACCATTTCTCTAAACCTGATTATGCTTCCTCCAAAAATAGCCATGCTTTTCTTTGTGAAAATAATGCCCTTGGAACGTTTCAAGTTCCCTTAAAACTCTTTTGGAATTATGGCGCTAATACTTTAAGTTTACTTTGTATATGAAAGAAATGAGTAATGAATAATATTCCAAGCCCTTCAAACAATTTTACTTAAATAGGGTTCATGTGGACTAATAAGCATGAACAACAATCAAGGATCATAAATATGCAGAGAACTGAAATCCATAAATGAAATCAAGAATCAATAATAAGAATGTATTAAGAATTTTGAATAGCGCTAACTTTGGAGTAAAAACCCTAGTCTTAATCATTCTAATTGAAAACTAGATGTAGGTCATGAGGAAATACTCATCCACTCACTACAATAGTTCTTGAAGAAAGCTCAAGGAAAAAGATATGAGAGTATGTTGAGGTAATACTATGATACATATAGTCACCAATTACGTACTAACACGTTGAGGTTTAGGCATAGAAATAATGAGAAATACTGAAATATCCTCAACTAAAAACTTCCTTAATCCTTTCACGAGGAAGAACTACGGCATGTAGTTGGATCTACCGCTTGTAGATTCCCTCCATGGAAGCTAGACCAAAATCGGGTCTCAGAAGTTCATTCCACAAACCCAAATCATGGCCCGTAGTTTGATTTATGCATCCTGTTTAAGTCCTTACAAATTACACCCAAAAACAAGCTTCAGGACTTCATTCTGCGAACCCAAATTTCGGTCTGTAGTTGGATTTGTAACCCATAGTTGTGTCCGTAAGAATCAAACCAATAACATGGTTTCAGATGTTTTATTCCACGAGCACCATTTATGGTCCGTAATTCAATTTATGAACCATAAGTGGGGATTGCAGTTGGCAGACTCTGAAAGCTCTGTAGGATCCTACATGCATCAATTGAAAATGAAAATATGCAAAAGATGTTGATATGTCCTATCCACATAGAAATCTTACCCTCTTCAACACATCACCGATGGATTCTGCAATTGCTCTCAATTTGGCTGCGAGATGGGAATGAAGGTCGATGATGCATTTTGTGCAACGCTCTTCTGTTTGGCTTATTGCTCTATGTTTACTCACAATACTGACTTACAGAAGGCTCGAGTTGCAACTTTAAGAACTAATCATCTATTACAGTAACTGCATAGTTAGAAAGTAAATCCATCTCATTACCTAAAACTGATATAAACCAAACAATTACTCATTTGAGTTCCACTAAATGAATTGAAAATCATTTTACTGAAAACGCGCAATATAGAGTGGGGTCCAATGCAACTGTGAAAACAATAGTGCACCACAATAAAATTAGCACACTCATAAGTCATTAACTTGGGATACTTTCTTCACACCAAGAAAATTTAAGTAACCGAGACAAATAATAATCTAACACTTCCCAAAACACCCCACAAACATGTGGTTCTTATAAAGATCGAATGTGTGCTGGAAGTGTATATTTATTAATGAAGACAGCAAGGTATTAAATAGAATTACAGGGAAAATAATAAGACTCCTAAACGAACTGAACTAAAGTAATCTAAATAAATAATAATTGTTGAACTAGTAATTCAATCCTAATACCACTAGACTACTAATTGATGTCCTAGTGCCACATGTTCTAATACGCCCCCTCAAGTTAGGCGATGAGTCACCAAGCCTAACTTGAACAGATTAGTTTCAAAAGCAGATTTAAGAAGTGCCTTGGGGTGAGAGTTGGCTATTTAATCGGCGCTATGGACATGAACAACACGAACCATTTTGATGTCAACATGGTGGCGAACAAAGTGAAAGTCCATGGTAGTATGCTTCACACGGCTACGGAGGACAGGATTCTTGTTCAAGAATGCGGCTCCAAGATTGTCACAATAAATTATAGGTAGCTGATGTACTAGAAATCACAGCTCATTTAAGAGATTGGTGAACCATAAGGTTTCAGAAAGTGCATTAGCCACAGCCCTGTATTTAGACTCAGTGGAGGAGCCTGAGACAATATTTTGCTTCTTTGAGGACCAGCTAATCGGATTGTGACCAAGAAACAAGATGTAACCAGATGTAGAAACGATGTCAACGATGTCCCCACTTCAATCTGCATCAGAGTACACATGTAGATTGAATTCATCAATGGGAGTAATGCATAGGCCGAGTTGAATGGTACCACGCAGGTGTCAAAGAACATGTATTACAGCTTTCCAGTGAAGGTCGGATGGTGCTTGCATAAATTGAGTAAGCTTGTTGACTGCATAGGCTATGCCAGGTCTAGTGAAGGATAGATATTGAAGCCTACCCAAGACTCGGAGATAACGTGTAACATCAGTCAAATGAGTTCCATCAGAAAAGGTGAGTAACTTTGATGCACTCATTGGCGTGTTAACACTCTTGTGGTCGGTCATTAGCTCATCATTTAAAATTTTATTCACATAATTTGCTTGGGTGAGAATTAAACCGTTAGAGTTGCGTATCACTTCAACGCCAAGAAAGAAGTGAAGATTACCTAAATCTTTAATAGAGAACTTAGAAGCAAAGGAAGTGATAACATAATTGACACTTAATGTATTGCTCCCAGTGATAATAATCTCGTCGACATAGACGAGGTCGAACAACGAATCACCTACAGCATGTCTGATAAGTAGTGAGGCATCCAATTTTGTCTTAACAAAGCCTATGGATGAAAGATAACCCATGAGGGAATTGTACCACGCCCGAGGATCCTAATTCATGCCATATATCGCCTTTGCAGCCGACAGATATGCATTGGTTTTTCATCAGTAGTAAACCTCAGAGGTTGTTCCATGTACACTTCCTCTTCCAGGTTGCCTTGGAGGAAGGAATTATTGACATTCAGCTGACAAATTCCAGTTGTGGCGAAGTGCCACAGAGAGGACGATGCAAACTATGGTGGGCTTGACGACTGCTAAATGTGGCATAAAAATCAATGTCCGGCCTCTAAGTAAAGCCTTTTGTAACCACGCACGATTTGTATCTGTCGATGGACCCATCAACATTTCTGTTGATCCTGAAAAGCCACTTGGAGGATACAATGTTTTTGATCGGGTCAGGGGGAACAAGTTCCCAAATCTAATTTTTAATTAAAGAATCAACTTCATGTTTCATTGCATAATAACACTCAGGATGTTTTTGTGCTTGTTTGATAGTAGTGGGTGTGACCGTGGGGTTCAATTTGGCTAGGTGATCAAAAATTTGTTTGGGTTTTGTGATATTGTTTTGGGATCGAGTGACAGCATAGGTAGAAGGAGACGGATATTGAGGTGGTGAAGGAGCGAGTTCCAACTCGAGGATAGGACAGGTTGGTTGCGGATCCATATGTGTTGGTGGGTTAGTGTTTCTACATTGATAGACAAAAAGAGGAGACAAGTTGTTTTGTGTGTTGGTAGGGATCGACATTTGTGAGTTTGAAGTGAGGCGTGGTAGTGCTAAACGCTGGGCAGTAGATTTAGAGGAGGGGTCCTGGGAAGCGGGAATTATTGAAGAAGAGAAAGATAGAAATTTACCTGGAGAGGGAGGAGTTGCAAGAGGTGAATTTGTTGCATCTGCCGTCGATGCATTGTCGGATAAGGATTGTGAATTTGAGTGGTCTCCGGACTGGGATGGAGAAGAAGCAGACGATGATGGGAAATCTGTAATTGTGCTTGCTGTTATTTCTAGTGGAGTTGGCAGATCTGTAACTATAGGAAGTTTGGGTGTGGGGTCTGAAAAACTTGACATAGTTTTTTTGGCCATTCTAGGTGAACTGATTTAATGGCAATGTTGAAGAACAATGTCTTAAATGGAAAACCATCCTCAACAAATCGCACATCTCGGGATAAGTACACCTTTGCAGAAATTGGGTCAAAACACTGGTGACAGTGATGGGATAATGAGAATCCAAGATAGACACATGGGGTATATTTGTATTTAAGTTTATTTTTAGAGTATGGTTTAAGCCATGGATAGCATAAACAACCAAAAATTCGTAGGGAGTTATAATCAGGTGATTTTCTAAGTAATCTTTGGAATGGGGATTGATTATCTAGGTGAGAGGTTGGACAACGATTAATGAGGTAGATAGTGTGATGGCATGCAAAAGACCAGAATTGGGTTGGAGGGACACCTCATGTAAGAGTGTTCTTGCAGTTTCGACGATATGACGATGTCGTCGTTCTGCAAGTGCCACTCGTTGGGGTGTACAGGGTGGGGTAGAGAGGTGTTGAATTTCGTGAAGTGAAACATAGGATTCAAGACTTTTATACTGACCTTCGCCATCAGTATACAATGATCAAATTTTGGTGTCAAAATGTTTTTCCATCATAGGATGAATTTTTTGAAAGATCACTTTAACTTCACTTTTCTTTGTTAGTGTGTAGAGCCAAGTGTATTTCGTATATTGTTCAACAAAAATACAATAATACAACTTTTTGTCAAGAGATAAGACTGGTGATGGACCCCATAAATCACTAAAAATAATTTGAAGCGGTTTAGAGCTACACAGTGATAAATGGGTAAAAGGATGCCGATGAGCTTTATTAGATCAACAAGAATTACAATGAAAATTTTTATCTCGCTCATGAAACGATAGAGAGAATTTATTTAAAATAAACCTAATAACTCTAGAGTGCGGATGACCAAGACGTTGGTGCCAAGTAGTGAGAGGACTAGATGTAGAGATAATGTGAGCTTGGGGATGTGAGACAGGCCACTCATACAGTCCATTGTTGGTCCGACCGTGCACCAGTGGCTTCTGCGTTTTCAGATCCTTCACAACAAAGTTAGAAGGAAAAAAATCAATAGACTTAAGATAGTCTTGATAGAATTTAGAAACAGAGAGAAGCTTGCGTTTAATGGAAAGGGCACACAAAGTGTGGGTTAGCTTAAAAACATTATTTGATGCATTTAATTTAGTAGAACCAGTGTGAGAGATGGGAATTTTGTTACCATCACCCATGGAGACATCCTCATTATCATTCATGGTATGGTTGTAGGTTGTGTGGCTCTGTTGTAATGTGATGGGTGGCTCATGAGTTAACTATCCAGGGGTTGGTGGCCGTCGTAAACCCAGGGCCGTAGTTGGCTTTTGCTTCAAAGTGATTATGAGACTTCGAGTGGCAAACATTGGCGGTGTGACCAATCCTGTTACATAGTGAACATCAAATAACACTGTTTGGATTTGAATTGGAATGCCATTGTGGTGGAGCGCTTGGACGCTAATTCTGGCACCATTTTTTAGAGTTGTTGGTCTGTCCACGATTGTTGCGATTATTGGAGTTAAATTTGGTGGGAGTAGCAACTGCAACCGTGATGGTACTATGTAGTTTCTTAGCATCCTCGTGGCGAAGGAAGAGTTCAAAGTCCAGTAGGTTTTCAAATAGTTCCTCATAGGAGATAGCTGTATCGCGTGCAGGTATGGTAGTAGAGATCTCACAAAATTCAGGACCTAGACCACTGAGTATTTTGATGATGAGTTCAGGATTAAAAACAAGAAAATTGGGCTTTCTAGGTGGTAAAGTTATGACCACCGCTTACTTTGATGGGTAATTGGGATATGGGATTGAATTGAATGATAATATTGGTACCCGTCATGTTATCAGCATTGACAACTTTGGGATTGTTGCCATTGTTGTTACCATTGTGATTGGTCATTGTTGATGATATGCGTGAGGAGGAGAAGAAAAATTGGATCGTACTCGTTAGAGCGTGAAAAGCCTTGATACCATATAAAGACTGAATGTGTGCTGGAAGAGTATATTTATTAATGAAGGCAGCAAGGTATTAAATAGAGTTACAGGAAAAATAATAAGACCCCTAAATGAACTGAACTAAAGTAATCTAAATAAATAATAACTGTTGAACTGTTAATGCAATCCTAATACGACTAAACTACTAGTTGATGTTCTAATAGTTCTAAAGGTATAAACTCTGACATAAAGTATATGTTGTGTGATCCAGATTTTGTCTAAGCAAAATCAATGTCCAATATTATACAACAATTAGTGGAAATTATTTGAACGAAAACAGAGAAAAAAACTTATTTACAAAACTCATTAAGAGCAAAAATTTCTCATTTCAAGCATATCAGATAACACTGATTTTCTAACTATGTAGTTGCTGTAAATATGAACATTGGATAGCTCTTAAATAACAGTATCAAGCCTTGTAATGGAAATTTCAGTTGATATAAAGTTTTTCTCAACCAAGATTCAAAAGGTACCAACAAACTGTAATATGCAATCAACGAGCATATGTAAATCTTGTTTTGCATGTAAAGAAAAAACGTTTCTACATCACAATGAACACTAAACATAGAGAAACCCCAGCCTTCATCATTCCTACCCGTGCAGTCAGCAGGGAGTAGATTTGTTGTTCCAAACATCAGCATTCATTTCCTGAAAGTTCAAAAGTACATAACATTAGTATTAACAAAACACCGTTTACCTTATCAAGAGAAAAGTACCCAAAGTGCCATGTGCATGATCTTTATTTAACATGTAGCAAAACTCACTTTGGTTAGATACTACAAGCACCAACTAAATTTGAGACTTGTCGAAATTGCTTCTATTCAAATATATATTAGTTAACTTATCTGATCTCTAGAAGGAACATGGAAATGCAACTTCAAGTGGTATAAATAGGCAATGTAAATACCAAAAGAGTTAGAATAAATCACACACTGATCCAAATGCAACATATTGAGTTGCGAAAAAATGGATAATTTAGAGTAAGAAATTTACATAGAAATCATTCCCTTTTCTAGCTCAGTAAGTCTAATACGCAAGGATATTTCTTATAAGACCTTTAGACTTCTTCCCCTTTTTTCCTTCATATTATTTTTTATGATCGAGAAATCCGAATATAGCTGGTCTTTTGGCCAACCGCAACCTTTAAAATCACGGATGATAGGTCTGTCATTCTACCCATCCTCACTTAAATGCTAGAGTTAGTTCGCTTGACAAGAGGCTCAAACCTGTAACCTGAGATGCTCTATCCTTGCACCGAACCATTGGATATTGACAATGTGAAAGACATTTCAGCTTTGAATGACCAAATAAGTAAAACAAATAGAATATAGTCCTAAAGAAACAATGTTGCGTGCAAGTAGCTTGAAAATTAAGACACCAAGCAATTGTTCTTGAGAAGAAGTTTGATGAAGCAAAAAATATCACTAAAAAGATCTTCAAGCATATATGATTCAAAGATGTTTTTGATATCTAGTGTGCTATTATTAAGTAGATGAGAAAAGAAAAAAAATTAATAGCTCTTGAGGAAATTGTATAAAGAATTCTTACTAATTATTTATCACACGATTTTCGTCATCTAAGATTTTGTTGCCTTTGGTGTTGTTGCATTCCTGGTATGTTCCGCAACAAACGGCCAAACAAGGCTTTCAATGTAAAACTTTGCGTCGGCAAGCTGACCACAATTGGAAACCTCTGGAAATCTCATTGAATCATCATTTTGGTAGTAAACTACGAAAATTGATCCATTCTTAAACAAAATTTCACCTTCACTTGACAAGCAAAAGTGTGGACCAAATAAATTATACCCCACATACCTTATGTTAAACATTTTTGTCCAAGACTCTTTAACCCCGTACTTCTTCATAACCCACACATCTACATGAGTCATTAGAGGATGGAAAATCATACAAAGGTCATTTCCTAATACACCAAGGTACGGGGTAAAATCAAAA